TGCCCAAATCTCGTTACGCATATCCTATGAAGAATTCAAATTTCTTCTGACTGCTAAACCGTAGATCTCTGAGAGTTCTTTCATCAATTTGATTGTAAATCTTTAGTTTTTACTTCAGGAACTTTTTTCACAACAGTCGTTTTTCTCTTCACTACTGCTTTTGCTACGGTTCTTATTTTTTTTTTTGCGGTTCGGCGTCTATCTTGTAAATTTTCTTCTTTTGTATGAGAGCTTTTCTTGCCTTATTAGCGCGCTTAAAAATACGTTTTGCCACATGCAAAGTACACTTCAACTTTTTAACAATGAAATCTTYACYKTATGGATGATAATAAAGCAGCATTTTAAAAGTCTTGGAGTCTCCGTAGCCGATATAAGAACCGTGCGCGCCGAACGCTCAGGAGAGMRGTYSGARATAGTAACGTTCAGGCAGCAAAAAAATGTAGTTAGAGACATCGGATCTTTTTGAAATTTTAACACAATATTTCTAAATATATATACATTCGAAAAATGTAAAAAAAAAAATTCAATTTTTTAAAAATTGCAAGTTGGAACGTCCCCTTAATTCTTTTATTTCTTCCAACTACGTTGGATCATTTCTTACTTTCCTTATTTCGATCTCCATATGCGTAATACTATTTTTCAAGTAATATAATAATTCTCTAACAGAGTATTTATTAGAAATAAAATGATTATTATTATTGTGTTTGTTTGATCTGTGAGTAAACGTTGGCTTTTCGTTTGGCACAGCATTCAAATCTTGCAATTTATTTTCATTATTACAAAAATCGCCGTAACTTAAGAAAAGGAAAGAAAATATATTTTCCATTGTCTCCAATCTTAATGTAAATGGATATAAGGTGTTTAAATATGAKTCCATGTCGAAGAAACATTTGGTAATATTTGAATACTTCTCATTGTAATTTTTACAAAGTAAAATTCCTTTTAATGCATTTACCATACTGCAATAAGCTTGATAAATATTGTCAGGTTCTCCAGTACGTTGTAATAGTTCTTTGATTTGATTATGATCTATTTCATGAATATTTGTAGYTTCTTTTAATAAATAAAGTACTGTACAATTTTCCAAAAGATACAATAGACGTTTTAATGGTATTGCATGTACAATACTTCTTAATTCTATACCATGTTGCATTTCTTCCATAACTTCTGAACTTTTTAAATTCAAAATCCATTGAATAATTTCAATATGTATCTTTAACGTGGTATTTAATTTATGAAAAGTATGATCGTTAAAAATACTCAGATTACAATTCTTTAATACAAATTCCATTACTTCAAATACAATTGCATTGTCTGTCCAGTTTTGTAAGTCTTCGTTATCTCCTTTCGTGTAACATATATTCTAAGAAGAAAAATAGAAAGAACAAAATTATTACAACGACTGGAAACAAAYATAATTAATTAATAAAATAAAACTATTAATACTTACTAGGATATCTGTTAACCAATGTGATTTTTGTGTCATTATTCTCCTAAGTATTTCCATTTCATTTAAAATCATAACATTATCATCATTTTTATATTTAAATATGTCATTGCATATTCTAATKACATCTTCTACAGTAGTAGCAGACTTCGAATGTCCATTTAATTCATTCATACATAAATTCCATTCATTGATAAAGGCCATATCTTTTCTAGAATATAACGCCAATTCTATATCCCTAATATTATCAGTTATCGATGCAATAGGACATAGCCATTTAAAAAATTCAGTCTTTTTAGATTCAGTTAAGATCATTTTTGATAAGATACATACAAATCTTCCCAAATATTCATTACTTATCGTTATCTTATCACGAATTAAAGACGACGATTCATCATTGTTTTTATTTACAAGAGAGCTTTCATTAGGTATCATTAATTCCATTATTTCTTTTAATGTAATCAAATTTTTAAAACTAATCAAAATTTTTTTTTTGCGAAAATATTTATTTGCAAATAAATATTGTCATTATCAATAATCTCCATTATTTTTTACCACTGCATTTCACAAATTAGGCAGTTGTTTGACTTTAATTGAACAAAAATATTTCGATATTTCATTAAAAAACTCTTTTAAGTAGGTTTTCTCTTCTCTGACATTACTAAAGTTTTTACTTCTTAATGAACCATTTAATTTATTGAAAAGATCTTTCGACAGCAAGAGATCTTGTGAATAGGGTGGATGAGGTAAAAATTCGAATCCAAGCTCCATTAATTTTCTATTTATTATTTTTGGAACATTTCTTGTGAAATTGTTATCTTGTTGAAGGATCCTGTTTTTTCCATTGACGAACAAAGATTTTCTTTCTATTAGCTTTTGTTTCATTCGTTCGAGTTGATTGCAATACATTGTAGCTGTAACAGTCTGATCAAGCAATTCATAATGTATGATTCCAAAATAATCCCACCACACACAAACAAGTATCTTCTGTTTTGTTATTGATGATGATGGTTCAGGTGTCGAAACAGTTGCTTCTCAGGAAGAAAGCAATTGTTTTCCTTGTACTAAACTATTGCATTCTACCCACTTCTCTCAGTACTTCTCAAGTAGTACGCCTTTGTTGAAATACCGTCTCAATTAATGCTTCAGGAATATAACAGCCTTTCTTGTACACTCTTCCAATGCGACGAAGATTATTTTGAACTTTACTCGATGAACTCATGTTCATCTTCAATGATAATTCCTTAGCTGTTTGACAAGGATTTACATCCAATAACTCATCCAACTTTATAAATAATTTTAATTGTCGGACTATTTCAAGACTTCTATTTTTTTGTTTGAACTCGTTATATCACCACGAGCACCTGCTTTTTGTCAAAACCTCCCCATACTTTTCCTTAATTATTTTCATTGCTTCGACTTCAGTTTTTCCTTGATTGAACAAAGATAGTATACAGGAACGTAAGTCTTCTTCTCCTATTTTTGGCCTTAACATATTTCCTCCTTGATAGAACAAAAATTTGTAAACCGAAAAATAAAATTTATGACCAATATTGAACGTAATAACAAAATTTTTGTGTTTGCAGGCATCGTGTTGCCTCAACACAAACTAAATGGTGAATGAGTTCGGGAGGCTAGCAACGTTTTCTTGAGAGAATTTCGTACAGTGAGCATTGTGTAACTTTACTACCCCGTTGATACATAAACTTTTACTCCGTTAAAGCTTGGCTACGTTGGAAGGGCAATAGATTTGTGGCGTCCCGCATCTGCTCGGTACTGACACCCCATGGTTGACTATCCGTAGCTCTGATGTCTTGCATGTGGGGAACTAGGTTAACGGAAAAGTTTGAGCTGGAGATTTAAGCGATAGTCATCAATTTAAATAACAAAAATATATAAATTTATTGACAAGATACAACTGAACTCTTGGACGCCATATATAGGACTAACTTACATTTCGACCGTTACGTTCAACTTGGGTTTGGTTAGTCTAGTACCCGCATAGGGCGCCAGTGTGCCGCATCGATGATCCCTAGTAATTGGAAAACGGGGTATGAATACCGCGGATAGTTCGCGTAATGATCACTTTCCGTTTTATTTATGGCATCACATGTAGCCAAATATTCGATGCTTTTTAGAATCAACTTTATAGTGAAAAAATAAAAAAAAAATGTATAACAATATAAGCAATAAGATTTTTAGAAATTTTGAAATAAATCTCAGTATTATAATAAAAAAATCATATAAACATAATAATAATGTAATTTATTATATTTTATTAAACTCAGATTACTATTTCAAATATGCCGCCAAAGTATATTACAACAAAACATATTAAACCACAAAGTGTTTAACTTGTTATTTTGAGTCAACTTCAGTTGAGTGTAAACAAATTATGTTAGCAACTTTTGAAAGTAACTGATATATATGCTTTATATATATATATATATATACTTTAATGTTCAATTTTTAATCTGGGCCAAGATTCGTATTAGGTATTTTTTTTCATATAGGTTACGTTTAATGTTTTCCGATTTGACAAATAATGGAGAATGGATAATATTTATCAACAGATGTAAGCAATAATTTGGGATATGTGTAATGAGTTCTCAAATCGTCTTGGTTTCGCTTTGCGTTATTCGCATTGAAATTGTTAATCCAAGTCAAGAAGAAACAATAAGTAAGTTTAGATTGATTTAATTATGTATTTTTATTTGTATGTACTTTTATCATGATTGTTTCATTTATAAATATTTGAGTAAATAATTTCTAATAGATTTATGTTTTATTCATATGTATTTTCATTTTTTTTATTGATTAATAGGTATAATGGCTGCTAGAAAAATGAGAGGACGTAGAGAAGCAAGAGATATTACTTTAGAAAACTATTCATGCACTGCAGAAGGGCCATCTCCCTTTTTATCCTCTCAAGGATCAAGCAAACCTCATTTATTACCAAGAACAAACACTGAAGATACTTCATTTACAACATGTACTTCAGTATCAACTTCTGAAGGTGCAGAAATAATTGGAGCTACAGCTTGTTCGCAATCTGATCAAATCAATTTTATTTCTGGAAATCCTTTCGTCGAAGTTACTAAAGGAATATTACATCTTTTTAAAGAAGAGTAAGTAAAACATGTATAAATTTGAAGAGAAAACTATTTTTAACTAAATAATTTATTTTTATTAATTTATCTATATGGAAAATATATTTTTTACCTGTTGTTCTTTTTAGTGAATTGACTGAAATGCATAATGCAGCGGATCGTAGTCATACCATATGTATGCTGTCAGTTCCAGCAACAATGACTTGTCATGATCTTTTAACGTTCACAGCAGCTTGCCATCAAGACATTCAGCATGTCAGAATTTTACGGGATGGTAATCCGAATCAATACATGGCTTTAATTACATTTCGTTCTTCGGTAAACAATATTATATTGTAATTAAATTTAAAAGATTCTTATATAAGTTAAACAAAAATAATTAATTTCTTTTACATGTATATTTAGAGTGCTGCTAGTGAATTTTATGAAACTTTTAATGGTGCACCTTATAATTCCTTGGAACCTGACGTGGTATGTCATCTGGTGTTTGTGTCAAAAGTTGAAGTAGGAGATAATGGTATGCCTTTAACAGGTCATACAGAATTGCCATCATGTTCTGTTTGTTTAGAAAGAATGGACGAAAGCGTGGATGGTATATTAACCATATTATGTAATCATACATTTCATTCAAGTTGCCTTGTAAAGTGGGGTGATACATCATGCCCAATATGTCGTTATGCTCAAACACCAGAACCACTTGCAGATAGTCATTGCATGGAATGTGGTACGTATTCATTGAATACATTTAAAATCATCTAAAGGAAGTTATATTTTCTATTATCTATTACATGTGTTTATAGTTAATAAACTATATACTGTTATTATATGCTTTTATGCAGCTGCAGGAACAAGCAATGAAGCCTTATGGATTTGTTTAATATGTGGTCACATTGGATGTTCTCGCTATCATCAGGGACATGCATTTGAACATTATCGTGACACTCATCATTGCTACGCAATGCAATTAGGCAACAATCGTGTATGGGATTATGTTGGCGATAATTTTGTTCACCGTTTATTGCAAGATAAAGATGGTAAGATGGTGGAGGGTGGACAAGCAACAACCAAAAATGAAGGCGCTGCTATGGAAGAAAAAGTTGATTCAGTTCAGTTAGAATTTACATATTTATTGACATCTCAGCTTGAAACACAACGGCAATATTTTGAAGATAAGTTTAATCGGTTGGAGCAACGTTCTTTATCCGAAACTACAGAATTAAGAGATAAATTAGGTCAATTAATGGAAGAAAACACCAAGTTTAAGGTATTACATAAAATGTGATCTTATTAAAATTTACTTATATTAAATATAATTATTGTTATTACATAAATAACACTTACATATGTTCTTAGTATTTAAAAATCTTAATCGATACATTTTAGAATCAATTTACGTTACTCAATCGAGAAAAACAATCTTTGGAAAAACGTCTACAAAATACTACAAATAAATTAACACAAGTTCAATTGGAATTAAAAGAGGAAAAGGAATTAAGATCATCTCTTCAATCTAATCAGATAGCATGGCAAACAAAATATAAAGAATTACAAGAAGAATTATCAGAATTAAAAACTACTAAAGAATCTGAAGTAAAAGAATTGCAAGAACAAGTACGAGATTTTATGTTCTTTTTTGAAGCTCAAAAACAAATTGAAAATTCTGCTAATAGGGATGAGATAGCTGCCGGGCAAATAGTTATTGCACCAAGTTCTAGTGGTACGAAACCGAAAGGTTCTCGTTCTTCGAAAAATCATAAAAGGCATTAAAATATTATTACGGATACAAAAAAAATTATAATATTATTCATTATCATAACAAAAGCGCAAGATGTGATTAACCACCACGTGATTAAATTATATATTATGTTTACAAATTAAATTTAAATATAAGCTATTAAATAAAATAATAATTTAATTAAATTAAATTGAATTTTTATTGTATTTCACACACACACATACACAACAAACAATAAACTTATCAATTTTTTCGTCATTGGTAAAACCTACTCTAATACCATTACTAAGTTTTTAATTCTTATTTGAATGACATACATATACATATATGTGTATGTACATATATGATAATTAATTGAACAAATGTACAAAGTACGCATTATAATATTAGTAATGTGTTTCATTGAACTTTAACCAATGAAATTCGTACGTAAGATACTAACAACTATCGTTGCTTTCTCATTGGTTGCATGTTCTTTTTACTAAGCATTATCAGAATATGTCATAGTATGCATATAAATCTGTGATTACAAATTGGGGTGGATAAATCAGCTCTTAAGATGTGTCTATTACATACATTAGTGTTTCATTATTATAAAATTGATGATCAGAAAAGTCTTATCCCTTGATATATTTAAAGTGTGTAATTTGAACTTTCATCTTTTGGATATCATAAAACGGTATGTGATATATTTGTGTGGGATGTGTCATTTATAATATATTGTTTACTTTTTACAGTTTTTCTAGTATGGGCATTATAAAGAAGCGTACATCTTATAATTTGTGTTAAATTTTCCTAAAATATAAAATATAGTTATTTTTTTTGTATCTTTATATAAAGTGTATATGTATATACATATATATATATATCTATTCTGAGAAAAACATATTGGTTATGTACTGTTATCCTATTTAAATGTCAAAGTGAGTACACTGTCATATAAGTATTATAAAAATAACATTTTGATCTTATTTTTCACTTTTTTTATTTTATTTTATTAATTGAGAATATAATTTTATGAATTATCAAGTGTTAATAAATTTTACTTCAAATCACGGTAAATATTTGTATAATTAATAATGTCATTACTATCATATATGACTAATGTATCTATATTAACAATTTTAGAGAACTTTAATATATACTAATATATTTATTGCAATCATAATTTGATTATTTATATTAAGAGTATTAAAGAGATATAAAAAATGCTATGGCTGAATCAGTAGCACAAGTTGTGGAAGAAGAATTGAATGGAGAAACAGAATCAGAAGCTAGCAGTATTTATCAATGTGGTTCAGTGATTTCAACTGTTCCAGATCGTCATGGTTTTCTTGGAGGTTCGCAGTATAGTCCTGAAAGGTAATATTGTAAACCAAAAAATAATATAAATTATGTAAGCATTTTGATTGATTTATACCTCCTATATGTTTAAATGAATGTTATAAATGTTTCAGAAAAGTAACTATACCACCTGATGTTATATTAAGAAGAGAAAGAAAATGGATAAGAATGTTAAATAATTGGAGCCTTTTTATGACTACTAATTACCGAAAAGTTAGAGAAAGATGTAGGAAAGGAATACCGCCTTCTGTAAGACTCAGAGCATGGCTTAATTTATGCGGAGGACAATTGTTAATGAATGAAAACCCCAATTTATATCAAGAATTAATTACAAGAAATGGTGATCCAAAGTATATTGAAGATATTAAAAAAGATTTGCACCGACAATTTCCTCATCATGAAATGTTTGTTGAAAATGCACCTGGACAACAAGAGCTTTTTCAAGTATTGAAAGCATACTCTATTCTAAATGCAAAAGTTGGTTATTGTCAAGCTCAAGCACCTATCGCAGCATTTTTGTTGATGCATATGCCTGCGGTACAAGCATTTTGGTGTCTTGTTGCTATATGTGACAAATATCTTGTTGGATATTACAGTCAAGGAATGGAAACATTAATACGAGATGGTGATATACTCTTCGCACTTCTGAAAAGAGTTTCACCTGTTGCTTATAAGCATCTTGTTAGTATGAAGAGTATATAATTAGAAACATATTAAAATTTTGAAAAGCATAATAAATATTTTGTTTAATTTTTATCATTTCAGAAAAAACAGAAGATGGAACCTAT